GAGGGAAGCAGGCTCCCCACTGAGCAGAGAGCCCAACGTGGGGCTCGATCCCAGGACCCTGAGATCATGACCTGAGCCGAAGGCAGAGGCTTAACCCACTGAGCCACCCAGGCACCCCGGTATCACAATTTTTAATAAGGTGGTCAGAGGACGTAAGCCTCAATGAGAAGGTGTTTCTGCGTAACTGAAATGTGTTTCCTTTCATGCTCTCCAAACTCCCTAAGGATGTAGCTGTTCCCACACACCCCAGTCCTCAATTTTCCATGACAATTGCCATAGCAGCTGCCTCCCCACAAGCCCCCAGTGCACTTGACACCACCTTTCTGGTGCCTCTGCGGACGACCTTGCATGGTGAATGCTTCAGCCTTGCCTTTCGTTAGCCACAGTGACAGGGCTGTGGTTTGTCATCTCCCAACCAGCTTTGGGACTGCTGTAGTGATGGGGAGGTTTGTGAGCAGAGCTACGACTCTGGGCAATTTAAAAGAGCCTTTTTAAAAGCTGGAAAATTTTGAAATATGCAATTAAAACTTGTATGTGTGCCCAGAGACCTTTTGAAAAAGGTCTTTTCTCTATAGCTAACCAAAAATAACTTTCTTTCCTGGGTGCCAGGCTCTGGTGCAGGGGTATATGGAGACTTTTTCTCCTGGGTGTTTTGTTTTTGTTTGGATAACACTTTTGGATAGGTAAGAAATAGGACAGATGGGGAGGCTACGGCAGGCAGAGAGCAGGAGATGGGAAGTCTAATTAGGAGAGTTTAAAAAGTCTAAACATGAAATCATGTCCACTGTTTGGGATATCCAGAGAAATTCCAGTAAGTTCCTCAATGAGAAATGCCTAACAAAACCGAAAATAAAATTTGTTTTGTGTACAAAATGTTATTGTGCATATCATCAGGAAAACTCACTAAAACCATATGTAGTGTGTTTGGAAGTTATTTAGCTGTATAGCTATTAATTTATTTTAGATGAGACAACTGAATTCGGACGTGTATAGCTGTTGTTAGTAACTAATTCATTCAGTTTAGATGTTGTGGATTTTTAAAGAAATATTTTAAGCCACACATCCTAAACTTTTTCAAACAATAAATTTTAGTAGTGGACATGTCTGGGCTCTTTTATGAATTGTTAAAAGATGAAAATTAATAGGAAAAATGACTTAAATTTAGAATTCAATTCAAAGTAATGACTCTTCTCATTTGAAAGTAGTGATTCTACGTTTTTAGTCAATCATTCTTTGTGACCGTATGTTTCCTAGTATTTTCTATGTATTTTCAGAATGTGTTTTCTGTTTGATTAGATAACAAGAGTTTTTGCTGTATTGGTTTGACAAGTAGAAGCCAAGCCCAAGGCAACACATTGGAGGTTGTACTTCAAAATAGAAACTATAGCAAAACAGAAGACACAAAGATCTATTTCATCTTGTGTTAATAACTTGTGGCAGCCCGATTGTTGTCAAACTACATGAACTGAAACCAAGAAGTGTTTCAGAGGATGGACACCAGTTCCATTCTTTTCTGTTTTCCTTTGGATCTCTATGCCGAAACCCTATAGGTACCATATCTCCCTTCTTAAACAAAGGGGTCTGGGACACCCCCCCCCTTATTACTGCAATCAAGAGAGGAGTTTCCTAAGACACCTGAAGCACAGGAGCTCAGAGAGTGATCCTTAAGTTGTGTCAATGCTTATTTAACTCATCTTTTCACTGTAGTGACATTCCTTATACCCTTCTTGTTTTCATCCAGGCAAACCCTTTTTTACACGAAACCCTTCTGAGTTGAAAGGCAAGTTCATTCACACGAAGCTGCGGAAAAGCAGTCGTGGGTTTGGCTTCACGGTCGTGGGAGGGGATGAACCTGATGAGTTTCTGCAGATCAAGAGCTTGGTCCTGGATGGTCCTGCCGCCCTGGATGGCAAGATGGAAACAGGTAGAGAAGCCACATGGCCCTCGCATTTCCTGTGCGGTGAGACTGCCACCCAACCCCCGAACGAGAGAAAAACAGCATCACGATTACATGGCTTTATAAATGGTTTTTTAAAACTCTGTGAGTCCGCAAGATCCCTCCACTAGAGAAATGTGGTCCCTGGTAGAGATGCAGAACTTTGAAGCCATTTGAACTTTGGGGCACTGTTAGGGTGCTATTGAATATAGTAAAACGGTTATTTACTAAAAAATTAGATCTGTCTGAATAGAAGAATTCTAAGCTTGGATTTCTGCAGCAAGGATTTTTTTAAAGACGAAATCACAGTGTTGTTTCAATGATCATTATATTCTCATTAGCAAGGAAGACACTAGACGCTACAAGAATGCCTTATTAGCAGTTATAAGAAATAATAGAAGCAGTCTCTTTGTGCCCTGTGACGCCACCCCCAAATTCACTTTTAGTTCAGCTTCCTGTTGGTAGGATCTTATAGTATAATGTTGATAGAACTTTTTTTGGCTATCTTTTTTTTTTTTTTAACCCCGAAACTCTTCTCTTTTGCAGGAGATGTCATTGTCAGTGTGAATGACACCTGTGTCTTGGGACACACACATGCACAAGTTGTGAAAATCTTCCAGTCCATTCCCATCGGTGCCAGCGTGGACCTCGAACTCTGCCGAGGTTACCCATTGCCTTTTGACCCAGATGACCCCAATACGAGTTTAGTGACCTCGGTGGCCATTTTGGATAAAGAACCAATTATTGTGAATGGGCAGGAGACCTATGATTCGCCAGCTAGTCACAGCAGTAAAACAGGCAAAGTCAATGGCCTGAAGGACGCCAGGCCCAGCAGCCCTGCTGACATGGCTTCAAATGGTTCCCATGGTTACCCCAATGACACCGTCTCTTTGGCTTCCTCCATAGCCACTCAGCCGGAACTCATAACTGTTCATATAGTCAAAGGGCCAATGGGCTTTGGCTTTACTATCGCAGACAGCCCTGGTGGCGGGGGCCAAAGAGTGAAACAGATTGTGGACAGTCCACGGTGCCGAGGCCTGAAAGAAGGGGATCTTATAGTGGAAGTTAATAAGAAGAATGTGCAGGCTCTGACCCACAACCAAGTCGTGGATATGCTGATCGAATGTCCAAAGGGAAGTGAGGTCACGTTGTTGGTGCAACGAGGAGGTATGTATGTTTCTTTTGTTCTATGATTTGTCTTTTTTTTTTTTTTTTTTTTTTTTAACCCAGGATCCATTGTTTAATTTACCAGTCTTCAGGTGACTTTGGGGGGCTTTTTAAATGTCTACTCTTTAAGATCATTTTTATTTAAGTATTGGAAATGTATTCAAAATACCTCCTATTTCTGCCAAACAATAACCTCTATAGAATAAAGGTTGTATTTGTATATTATGCTATACACATGCAGTTAGAGTGATATTTTTAAATGTAAATCACATTGTACTTGTAAAAAATCATTAATATTTTTAAATCTCTGTACTTATTCTTCTGAACCTGGCCTGCACAGTGTGCATACAAAATGTAGCTCTTGGTAACTCTTCCAACCTCATCTCAATCCTCTCCCCTCATCACTGTGGTCTAGCCACCTTCTTTTCCGGAGTGTCTTTAGTGCTCCAAGCCCTGGGTGTCTCAGGGCCTTTGCACTTCCTGTTCCCTCTCCTTGGTATGCTCTTTCCCCAGCTATTCACTTGGCTGGCTCAATCTCACTCAAGTCTCCTCTTGTGAGAGGGCTTCTTTGATTACTTATTTAAAGTAGTCCCCCTCCCCCCCTGTCAAATAAATACATAAATTCTTAAAGAAAAAGAAGAATAAAGTAGTCCCCCAGGGTGCCTAGATGGCTCAGTTGGTTAAGTTTCTGACTTTAGCTCAGGTCATGATCTCAGAGTTCTGGGATTGAACCCCACATCAGGCTCCCCTCTCGGCAGGGAGTCTGCTTGTTTCTCTTCCTCTTGCTCTGCCCCACTCCCTGCTAATGTTCTCTCTGTCTCTCAGAGAAATAAATAAAACCTTTATTATTTTTATAAATTTTTATAAATAAATAAATAGTAATAATAAATAAAATATATAATAAATAATATAACAAATCAAAGTAGTAAATAAATAAATAAAAAGTAGTCCCCCAGTTCCTTGTAATCTTTACTGCAGCACCCCATTTTTTCCTAGTCTTTATCACCTCATTTTTATTATCATCACAATTCATTGTTTTGTGTATTTATTTAGTTATTTTTCTTTGTCACTCTTTTTAACTAGAATATAAGATCCATAAAACAGGGCTTATGTCATAGGCTCATGTCTACATGTTGACAGTTGTATCCAGCATTTAACACAATACTTGACTCGTGCTAGGCATTCATGAATGAAAAGATACTGAATGAATGAATGAATAAATGAATGGGTGTGCGATTATTCATACTTGGTAGGAATGACAGCTCTCCACCAATCATTTGAAAAACATATCTCAGCATACCCTCATTTTAATGAAGTAGTGAAGGATCTCAGAGAAATCTGTTCTAAATCTTGAGACTTTAGACTTTCTTCTTTCCTCTGCCTGTATCCCCTACCTCTGCCCCACCAAGAACTCCCAGGACCTCGCCCTGAGGAATATTTTCTACACTATTGAAATGTCTTGCTCCTGGATATGTACTTGTGACTAGTGCTGATTGATCACCTCACACCATGGGCCTGAGATTGGTTGTTCCCTAGTCTTTGCCAACACGATTTGCTTCATGCACAGCATACTCTGGCCTTCTGAGAAGAGATCAGGAACTAGACTTTTATTTCCTCTTGGTTCCATTACAACAGAGGAGCTCACATGTGTCATGGCAGCTGTGTTCTCACGCTCTCATGAAGTTCTGTGGTCAAAATGACTGGGGTTGTTGGAAGAAAATCCAAAATCCAGAGCAACTGTCTCTGTGAACTGAAATGCTCAGCCAGCCCTTCTTAAACAGTTATAAAAGCCACTGAGCAGATTTAATTTTTTAACCTGTTATCTTATCTGCCATTCTTAACTCTCTGCTTGTACCTAGATCACATGACTGCACAGATCCTTGTTTTTTCAGCATTGACTGATATGTAGTAGAAAGTGACTTGAGCTTCAGAATGATGAAGTAATGGTGATGATGATGATGGTGGTGGTGGTGGTGGTGCTGGTAATGATGGTGGTGGTTGATGGTGATTGTGGTGGTGGTGGTGATGGTAATGATGGTGGTGGTTGATGATGGTGATGATGATAATGGTGACGACAATGACAATACCTGATACTTAAGGATAATCCGGCAATTTACAAAGTACTTTTCATACCATCATATGCCTTTCATCTCACTCTTACCATGTCCTTGAAAGGTAGGAAGCTGCCAGCCCATAGCATCACTGAGAATTTCAGCTGAAGTGTGTGGTTTTCAGTTCTGTGCTCTGTCCGACTTAACTCTGAATGACATTGGTTTTTGCATTATTGCTGGTTTCTGTGGCCAGCAACTTGAAAACGTAAATGGTTCTTGGTCCATCAGGGCCAAATCTGATTTAGCCACTGCTCATCTAACGGTCACAAACCATCCTGCTCTCCTACCTGATTTATTTGCTCCTTCATTTCATCTTTCATTTCATTCTTTTTTATGAGAGTCACTGTAAGTAGACCAAAAAAAAAAAAAAAAAAGTTTCTTTACAGCCTATTAACTTACCACAGTTAGTGGAACCATTTTGTAATGAACATGTCCAGACTACCAAACAACTGATTATATAGAAACATACCCCTTGATTTCAAATGTGTTTTCATTCTCTCTTCTTAATTTCTAAGACCTTTTTGTTAATGCCATTACATTTTATAAGCTGAAATTAACATGGAAAGAACCAGAATATATTGCCACATTAGTCAACATCTACATCGTTTATTCCAGAACCTGAGTAATTTAAAATCACTATAACATCAGCAGTCTTTAAAATACACCATATGCCTTGTGTTTGATTTATGTGTTGGATAGAAAGTTTGCACATCTGCATTTGGCAGGCTAGCACCAGCGACTATTAATCTTTCTAGGAAGCATATAAATATATTTGTTTCTGCCATATATTAGTTATTGGAACTTGGGCTGACATTTTAATCATCACCCCTGTATGGTGGGGGTGTAAATGAGGAGGTTTGGTGAAGCAACAAAGACAGCGTCTAAGTTGAATGAGAAAGTAAATGGCCACTTCGCCAATTCTTTCTAATGAATCTCATTTCTGTCAAAGCTCCTAGTAAGCAGGTTGATAAACTCGTGATTCTTGTGAGTCTTGGGAATTCAGATCTTGAGGATGAGGCTTTCCATGCTTTAAAGAACTGGCCTTTTCTACTTTGGGACAGAATGAACTACGTTTATATTTTGTATTCATTCTCAATCTCTTCATTTTTGAGATCTCTTCCTGTCAAGATTGGGGACATTTTGAGTTTTGGTTTTTTTTTTTTTTCCCCCAAAGCTGGAAATCAAGCAGAGGTTGGAATATCATTTGTCAATTTCTGGGTTTAGACAGTTTTCCTGGACCAGGCATGGAGTTGGTGGGAAATGCCCATCCACATGCGCTAGCAGCTGGGACCATTACTGATTTATTTACGAGTCTCTTCTCTGTGAACATTCCCTTGTCTACTGGTCTGTCAGTGACATCATTTGTGGGGACAGTGCCTTCTTCCTAAGCCTGGTTCCCCATCTTTCCGTGGCACTTCATTTCCTCCTGCTCCCTCTGCCATGCAACCAGGAGAATGCTTTTTATTTTATCTTTACATAGTATTTGCATTCAGAGAGCCTGTTGTCTGACACCAGTGTGAATCTAGAGACATTTTTTGAGATGTTGGAAATTTACGCTAGAAGGTGATTACTATTTAAAAATACATATATATGGTTTTTTTTTAATTTACAGAAAATAATTTGTCCTGTAAAAGTTTTTGTTTTGTTTTGCTTTGCTTTTTTAAAAAAATAGATATTATATGTAACAGAACTGTGTGCCTCTCCGTGTATTTTGTATCTTTGGGTAATTCACACCAGTAAGTAGGTGAAACAGTCTTTAAGATGTAATATTGGGTTGAGTTAGAATACTTTGTTTCAAGATTTGGCAAAACTTTGGGAAAGTGGAGAAAGCAAGTTTTGCTTTTGAGAGTAAGTGTGTATTGAAAAGAAGGCTGACCTGGGGGTATAGGAACCCACCATTATTAGTTCCCCCTCTGCTCCTAGCTGCTCTCGCCTCTGTCCAAGTTCCTGCTCCTGCTCGGAAACTCATCTCCTTATCAACAAAATGGATGTTCTGAGCTAGATCAGCTTCAGAGCAACCTTTTTTGGCTCCACCTTTATACCCCAAATGGTGTCCTTGATGTGTGTAAAAAAAAAAAAAAAAAAAAAAAATTCAACTGAGCCCCTCTCTCTCTCTGCCTCTCTACCTACTTATGATCTCTGTC